GTCACACACTTCATTATGTTTCCTAGGTCTGTGGGTCTGTGTGAATTTATTTATTTGTTCCTGAGCTAGGATCCACTGCATTTTTAATTTTATAATATGCTAAAGTTTCATCTCTTACATGCCCCCATCCCGTTGGTGGTGTTTTAATTGATACACACAATTCATCCTAGAAATCCATCATGGTCTGTTTAACTGTTTACTTATTTTTACATACGTAGGAGTTGGCCTCATTTCTGGCTGATATAAATTGCTGTCTGGATTGAAGTCTGCGTGCGCTCATTTAGCTGCTATTGGAAGATAAATTGGAAAATGAGGCTCCTCCGTCAAAAGTGGGAAGCTTTGGAAGCTTCGGGTGAGAACTTCCAAATGTGCTCTGGGAATAGGCTGGGGCTTTCCTGTGGCCAAGGGATGGCGGAGTCCTTCCAAAGTGCTCACTGGGTGCTACTTTTCTGTGAAAGCCTCAACAATTTGATGCTTTAACGCCTCGTTTCTTGCATTAATTGGTATTTTTGATCATTAATCAATATTTTACATATTGGTGTAAAGTGCCTGAGGTAAACAACTTAAAAAGGGGGGGGGATGCTTGTTTGGGTGCAGATTCCGGAGGGTTCGGTCCACAGTCGCTCAGCTCTGTTGGTGAGGCAGACCAGCATGGCGGGAGAGCAAGGTGACACCGATCACCTCCTGGTGGCCTAGGAGCAAAAAAGGAGAGAGGGAAGGATCAGAGTCCCAAAGTGCCCTGTAAGGGCACAGCCCAGGGACCGAGCTTCCTTCTCTTAGGCCCCACATGCTGGGGGTCGCACCTCCTCCGGTAGGGCCTCAGGCTGGTAACCAAGCCTTGGGTGTGCGGACCTTGGGAGGCATTTAAGAGCCAAGCCTTAGTTCTAGGCTGGCTATTTCTTTTTCTAGCTTTAGAACTTGCCTGCAGAGACATCACCTCCCATTCATATCGCACACATTTTTTCTGAGTTTGTCTAACCCTTTTTAATTTGTTCATTCCCATTCACATTTTTATGCTCAGAAAGTCCTTTCTAGTTGACCTCCCCCCTCCATTTCTTTCTAGTGGATGGTTTGTGTGTTTAACTCTAAACCACTCGAAACTTATTTTGAGATGTCATGATGCAAGGAAAGAAATTAACTTGATTTTTATCCAATTAGTCAATGATTGGCCATAGTCCCTCAGTGACTAGGGGGTGGTGTGAAAATTCCAGCAGATACAGAAATAATGAAATGGAAGCCTAGAGCTGGACCCAGCTCCACAGCCCTCCGCTTCTCAGTGCTGAGGTTCCTCCATCCCTAAATATAACCCCAAGTCTTAGCATATTCACATAATTGTGCACCTGTCACCATAATCAATTTTAGAACATTTTCATTACCTGGAAAAGAAACCCCACATCCGTTGGCCTTCACCTTCAATTCCCCCCAGCATCTCACACCCAGGCCACCATAGTCGACTTCCTTTCCCTGTGGAGTGGCCTGTTCTGGGCATTTCATATACATGGGATCTTACCATCTTAATGGTCCCTGGTGTCTGGCTGCTTTCACTGGGTACAATGTTTTCAAGGTTCGTCCACACTGTAGCATGGGTCAGTACCCATTCCTTTTTTATTACGGAATAATATTCCACTGCATCTCAATGCCACGTTTATCTATCCATCAGTTGGTGGACATTTGAGTTATTCCTACTTTTTGGAATTAGGAATTCCAGAGTTATGTTGACATGGCCATTGTATTCTAATGGCAAGCTCTTAAAATCCCATCAAGTACAGGTTGGGCCAGTGGTCCTCATCTATACTCTTGATCCCTACTGAAAGACGACATGACCCAGCCATCTTGAGTGGGAACCACCGTGATCACCCTGGAGTAACCCCAGCTAGTTTCCCTGTGTGGTTTTCCAACATACTCCAACGAGGTACAACCAGAGTGGCACCTGGAGCACTGTGACTGGACCCAGTGCCAGGAACTTGCCGAGTCTTTTTTGATATGAACTTGAGATACACCAGGTGCATTCTGGTTTGCATGTGGTCACTTTTGTCCTGACCATTACATATACCCCTCCTTCCTACCCAAATCCCAGGGGCCCACCTGGGCATGCTGCTGCCTAGGCCCATGCTTCTGTCAGTGAGTTCCGGTAAGTTGCACTCTGTGTTGTCCTGGATCTGTCCGTCCCTTTCTCTGGGCTCATGCCACCTTGGGGGCCTGTCTTAGTTCACTGGGAATAGAACTGGGTTTTCTAGACAGATGTATTTGAGTGGAGAAAACTACAGCAGATGGGGGCCTACGCCTCAGGAGTGGAGGCAGTTAGAAAATAAGGCCAGAACTGACCCGAAACAGGAAGCCCTGAAGGGACAGTGCTGGCTTCAGGGCTGGGCTGAGTCTCCAGCCTCCATAACCCCTGTGTCCTGTGTGTTGGGGGTGGGGTGGGTACTGGGGATCAAACCCAGGGGTGCTCTGCCTCTGAATTGCATCCCTTGTCCTTTTTATTTTTTATTTTGAGACAGAGTCTCACTAAGTTGCTGACAATCTTGCTAATTTGCCGAGACTGTCCTCAAAATTGCCATCCTCCTGCCTCAGCCTCCCAAGTAGCTGGGATTAGGGGTATGCACCACTGCATCTGGCCCCCTAAATTCTTTCATCCTGGTTTAAATGAAGCTGCATTCTATGCCACAGAGTCTGGGGTCCCAGGAAGGGGAAGATTCTGCTAAGCACTGAGCTGGCTGAAGCCCCCGCCCCTAGGCCAACAAAGAAGCTGAGGGGTTGGCATTGCAGGTCTTGGGGGGGTGGGGGAGGTAGAGGGCCTGGCTTTAAAGAAGCACAGCCTCAAAATCCAGCTCAAGCTGCCTCTATTTGTGGTCACTGGGAGACACAGTTGTCCAGGTCCTGAACCTGGGGCTGGGAGAGGACCGGGTGCCTCTGGGCCTCTGTTTAGGAGGTCCATTCCTCCCTGGGCCATGCTTTCTGTGTGCAGGGCAGGGGACTTCTGTGCCACAGGGCTTGTTTCTCTCGGAATCAAAGCTCCCCCTGGGCGTCAGTGTCAGCCTCGGGGCTTCTTGTGCAGGGTGAAGCCCACTTTCCAATTCTAAGGGGACCTAGAGGAAAGGTGGAGAGGACTTTGAGGGAGATTCACCCTCAGGGCTGAAAGGTGCCCAGCACAGACTAAGCAGGCAACAGGCGGCTCCCGGCCTGCAGCTCCCTTGGCCAAGCAGAGAGAGCCCTTGGTCACTCCACCTGTGGTTTCAAGCAAGGGTCAGCTCGCTGCCCCCCTGGCTGAACCAGTTTCCTGCACTTGGGGGAAGGATGTGCCTGGATTCTAGACCGCATTTGAAACAGGTTGACTGTAAACCAGAGTGTGAAACGAGAGACCTCTGGGTTAATTGCTGGTGAGTGTGTAGTAAAATACTTAACTTAGCCCAAGATCTTTGCCCTCACATTCGGGAGGTGACTCTAAGTCCTGGGAGTGTCCAGCCTCCCGGGGATGTTTCTTTTTCCTGAGTCTTTGGTTCATGACAAACAGTAGAAGAATGTGATTTAAGGTGGAGGCTGTGGGCCGCGTGGTATCAGCTCAGGATCCCGAGAGGATGAAGGACGAGCCACCTGCTCAGGAGGGCGCTGTGCCTGTGACATGGAGACCCAGAAAACCCTGGCTGGGAGGAGCTTCTTGGCTCCTCACATTGTGGTGAGGAAGGCAGCCCAGTCCACAGGGAGGGGACAACCAGCGGCTCCGTGGTGGAGCCCTCTTGGACTCTGCCCTCTGCCTCCGTGCAGATCTCTTCCCTTCACTGATTTTTTTTTTAAAAAACCAGGGACTGAACCCAGGGGCACTTAAACACTGAGCCACATCCCTAGCCCTTTTTAATTTTTTAAATTTTGAGACAGGGTCTTGCTAAGCGGCTTAGGGCCTCACTAAGTTGCCGAGGCTGGATTTGAACTCAGGATCCTCCTACCTCAGCCTCCAGAGCTGCTATGCACCACTGTGCCTGGCCCTTGACTGATTTTGATCTGCATCTTTCCCTGTAATAAACCAGAGCAGTAAGGACACCTGAGAATGTGAGCCCTAGAGACTCACTGATGCTACAGGGGGTCTCGGGGACCCTGAACTTGCACTTGGTGGCAAAAGTGAGGGTGGGCTTGCAGATCAGCCCCACACAGCACTCTGCAAGCCAACCTGGCTTCTTGCAGACACAACCCAAAGGCCACAGGGACTTTTGAATAAAGAGATTCCATTAAAAACACCAAGTGTGGTCTCACGGGTCTCTGCAAGTCTCCCCGGAGAAATTCTGCAGGAGGCTGAAGGGAGGATTTAGAGAGAAGAGAGCAAGCCACATCCAGGTGCCCTTGGGAGCTCAGTGCCACAGAGGAGGCGCTCCCAGGGGCCAGCCTCTCCCCTCTCCTCACCGAGCCTAGTTCCGGATGACGAGAATATCAGAAGGTGAGATAATAAAAACCTCTGTGTTCTGGGCCCTCACATGACCTCCAATGTCCGAGGAACAGACCTGACGCTTTGCCCACCATCAATCCTCGTGGCCCGGCACAGTGTCAGTGTCCTGGGTTAGACTGTGTCCCCACCTCCCAACTTCATATGTCCAAGTCCCGATCCCCAGGACCTCAGAACACAACCTTATTTGAAAATAGGGTCATTGCAGATGTAATTAGTTAGATTAAAGCGGGGTCACCTGGAGTAGGGCACCCCTAATCCCATATAACTAGTGTCCTTGTGTAGTGGTGCCCTGTGGAAGCTAGCACGCTCAGGCAGACGCCATGAGGGAGAGTGCCACTGTGGGTCAAGGGAGGTGCAGCCGGACCCAGAGAGGGGCTGGGACAGACCCTCCCATGCACCTGCAGACACCTGGCATTTGTCCCCCAGAATCTAGAGGAATAACCTCTCGCTGCTCCAGCCCCAGTCGCTGGCACAGGGGTTAGAGGAGAGGAACCTACAGCTGCCCCCTGCAGAAGGTGTGTGGGCAGGAGGCGCGGTGAGTGCCCTGGGCGAGGGGCAGGTCTGGGAAGCACTGGCCTGTCACCTCTCTTCTGGAACAACTCAGTTCTAGGGTCCAAGGGCCAGGCCCAGGGTGACCTGAGACTAGAGAAAGGCAGGCAGACCCAGGATGGCATGGAGGGCCACTTACTGGGGGCTCACTACAGAAGTGTGTCCTGGGTAACAGCAAGACCAGTGGGATCCCTGCCATATGGGTCACAAAGAGGGGTCTGTTATAGATTAGGGCTTTGTCCTGTAGAAAAGTGGCTTTGTCCTGGCTGGAATGACCTGGTTTACCTTACAATGACTTCATAGTCAGATGCTTCCTGGAACCAGGGTCCAATTGCAAGGCCCCGCACACCACTCTAATGGTGTTGTCTGGTCAGAGTTTGCTGGGAAACTATGTGGGAGGAACTGGCCAGGGTGACTCTGGCTAGTCATGGCAGTAACAAGATGGCGGCAGTCATGCCAAGCTGAATGGACACCATCTCCAAGGATGGTGATGTTTCAGCAAGCAGAGAGGGAGGAGGGGCCACTGGGAGCCTGGGTTGAGGCACATGTGGAGAAGATGACCATGTTGAGGCCACCAATAGGAGCAGGGAGGATGGGCCCAGGGGCCAGCCCAAATTGGTTCAGTTGAGCCTTGCAGTGGCCACAGATCCAACTGGGGACTGGCTTTGCCTTCACTCCTGGGCCTGGCTGGACTGTGACATTCTTACTCTTGGTGGAGGCAGAATTAATTCCGGCTGTGCCTGACCTGTTGTGAAAAGCGATTTAGTTAAATAGGTGCCAGGTGATTCCCTGGATTCTGACCATGAGGATTTATGCAAAAAAAAAAAAAAAAAAGAGGGGGGACTTAAAACCCTTCCTTGAGGTTGCTCCTGTTTCTGCTCCAGCCCACACATGGGGCCGCTAAATCTTCCTCGGTTCGCTGCTTGCTGGGGCTTCCCGAGCTCTCCTCCATGCCCGCCTCATTTGTTAGGCTGTGACCCCACCGTGAAGCTAGGATATGACTTGCTCCTAACCACAGCTGGAAAATTAAATTTTATTTTCAACCCATCTTTACCCTTCTTGCTGCTGATCTGCCTGGATCCAAGCCAGTCTCCCTGTGGCTTTGGTTTTAATATCTGGCCATAAACCCCTCAATGTTACAGCTGCCATAAGCGGGTCCTGGTGTCACGTTCCTCAAGACAGTTAATTAAATCCCGAGCCCAGTGTGCAAATGGAGATTATAAAGCTCTTTGGCCAGAGAGAGTGGGTTGGATGCTCTCGACCGGCATCTGGTCAAACGTGGAATTGTCTTGTAACAATGGCGCTGACACAGAATGGATGGATGGCATCTGGGACGGGGTGAGAGGTCACAATTCTAAGTTTCTTTTAAAAATTCTACCCAAGAGAAATGAAGACACCAGTCCATAAAACCACTCACATGAGAATGATCATGGCAGCATTGTTGGTTTTGGTCCCAAACTGGAGACGACCCAGGCATCTGTAACCAGGAGAATGAAGAAGAAGATGGCGGTAGCTTCCTACATGGACCACTCAGCAATGTGAAGGAACACGTAACACAACAAGTCCATCCTGGAGAATTCCATTTCTTCAAGTTCTGTAACCAGCAAGACTAATCTGTAGTCATAGAAATCAGAACAGCAGTTCCCTATGGTGGGATGGAGGGAGCACAAAAGAACATTCTAGAATGATGAAAATCTATCTTGACTAACACGGTGGATGCACTACTGGATATGTTTGCCATAGCGCATCAGTGTGTGTGCTGGAAACCTGCGTGTTTCACTGTCTGTCAACATTCCCTTATCATAAAAAGAAAGTTCCATTGCAACACAACTGGAAAGTTACTGGCCATCAGAGTGTCTATCTCACTTGTCTTTCAAGACACATCTCGGGCTCAGGTCAGAGCTCAGAATCATGGTGCAGAACACAGTTGGGGATCATCACTGGTATTCCCTTTGGGGAATCAAGATAGTCACACACTGATCTCTGTGGTCTTCTTGGGGTCCTCCCCAGATGTCCCCTTGGGACAGAGCCACTGCCACGTCCAGATGCTCCATATGGAGGAGGACCTCATACTTTGGGTCCACCTAAGGGAGAAGAAGGTGTTTATTAGGTGGCTGTGAATTTGCCTTATGTGACTGTGACTTCTGTGGCTCAGGAATTCTGCTAGGGCACTTTTGCTTGCTCAGAGCCAATAAAACAATTGTCCTCAGAGCAGATGCTGTGGGCGCAGGCAAGATGGGACTGTACTGTCCCCTACTTCAAGGTATCATTTATGTCCACTGGAGTCTCCTCCACTGGGCGGGGTGGTGTGGGGAGGTGGTAGCCCACTGCCCGTGTTCTCTAGGGATGGTGCAATGTTCCCTTTCTCAGAATAGCCTGTGCCTTCATGCATGGGAATATTCAGTGTCTACTCAGTAGCTCCTGAGAATGGCCAGCCCCACGTGGCCAGCCCCGCCCTAGGGCTTGGAGCGCCAGGCAGACTCAGGAACCACATGGCTCTGCTGACCCCAGGTGGCATCTGGTAACACTGCTGGGGGAGGCAGGCAGGGGGTAGAGCATGAAGCTTAGCATGACCTTATCACTCTTCCCAAGATGCAGGGTGTCATTCACAAAGAAGTCTAATCCCTTTCCTTCTTTCCATTAATGACCCAAGGCCAGAAGACGTCACTGAAAGGAATGGGTTGGTGGGGGGGAATGATTGGGAGACTTTCTGCATAATGTGGCCACCCAGAGCTGGTCCCCACTGAGGTCTTGGATGGCAGGTGTCTTAGTCTGTTTTCTGTGGCTGTAACTGAGTACCACAGACAGGGAAATTTATAAATAGCAAAGGTTTAAGGCTCATGCGTGGCTCTTCTCTCCCACTTAGAGATGAGGAAACAGAGGTGAGAAACCGCTCAGCGACTGAGAGCATCAGAGTCTGCGGCAGAGCCCCCTGGGGTGTGCTGGGTGTGCTGCGCGACAGACAGCCCCACGTCCAGGACAAGACACCTGCGCTGAAGTTGGGAGGCTCAGAGTCGGGGTGCAAATGTTCTGGAAGAACAGAAAGCAGCAGCAGATGGAAATGCCGTCTCCAAGAACTTCATCTTCCACCAAAGACCCTCCCGTGAACAGCCTGACGGGCTCCATCTGGAATGCGCAGAACAATCCACAGAGCACAGAAGAAGGTCTTGAAATCGTGCCCTTATTTTATTTTTATTTTATCCCGTGAAAAAGACTTATTTGGGGAGTGTTTTATGATGTCTGTAGTCCATTCGCACAGTGGTACACAGTGTGCTTCATCAATAAATAAGTGCACATATATTTGGGATGCACATTTGAAAAATTGCTGCCCACTTGGGTCTACGATCCAAAGAGCCCCGAGGCCTGGGCGAGATGGGCTTGGACATTAAGGACTTGCCCTGTGTTAACCGGCTGCTTCAAAACCCCAGTGCGCTACATGGGGCGTCGTTCTGGTAACATGGGTCCTCTCATTCCCTTGCCCTAAGCTGACACGTATCTTTCCCACACTGAGTGTCCCTTGGTGTTCACCACAGCACCGGACAGTAGCTGGCTTCTTGGTTTTTCACCAGGGCGGGGGTCATGATGAGGGCCAGGTGACCTGGGAACACCGTGTGACTCAGAGGTGGCCATGGGCCAACACTGGATGTGAAAGTTTGCTGGTGGACCAGGAGGAGCATCTTGCGTCTCTGAGCCTGCCCAGAGGACCTGGGAAACTGACGGCCATCAGCTGCCTGACACGGTGTGTGTGTGTGGGAGGGGACTTCACCAGCGTGAGCCACGGAGCCAGTGTCCACACCAAAGGAGGTGCTGTGGGGGAGGGGCTATAAATGGTGGCCGCTGCAGCTGGTGAAGACTCTAGGCCCCCCACCCCCAAGCCCTGGGGTGGAAAAGATAACTTAGAATTTAAGGTCAAAAAACAGAGCAAAGAGGTCAAGAGGACCTAGAGATTTTCTAACCCATCCATCAGCCATCTCCTGAGCCTCCCCCCCCAAGGCCAGCAAGTGACAAAGAACAGACCAGACCCCCCACCATGCAGTGCCTGAGATGCAGGTCCTGGGAGCACCATGGGAGGACCGAGGACCCGGAGAGCAGTGCTAGGACAAGGACAGGGCAAGTGGGGGGCAAGCAGGGGCTCACCTCGGGAGCTGGCTGGCTGCTTTCTCGCCAGGTGGATGGTGAAGGACGGGCTCCTGAAGGTCAGCGGTTGGGGCCTCACGGGATGGGGGAGACGGGAGCTGGACCTAGGAAAGGAGCGACTTTCAATAAGCAGAACAAGAGAGTGGGATGGCACCGTGACTTATTAGGGAAATGCAAACTAAGGCCCCGGTACTGGCTCACGCACCCCAGAGCCCACGGCTGGGACCCCCGACAAGAGGAAGAGCAGCTGGCACTCAC